AGGATTTACAGCATGACTCACTGTGTCACACTGCAGTTTCCACAAAGAGATTGATTTTCCCTCTCTCTTTTTTGCTTTCTTCTTCTTTTGTCTCTTAAATTGTACTTTATTTTGGGGGAATGTTGCAAGGGCAAGGGACAGATATAAAGGGAAAGGGAAGTGAATGGGGTGGAAATGCATGATGGGAAAGACACAAAGAATAAATAAAAATATAGTTGAAAAAGGAAAGAAAAATGCTGGTGGGGTTCACAATCCAGATCTCAAAGTCTATTGCAGGGCTACAGTAGTAAAAACAGCATGGTAGCTGCACAAAACAAGACTTGCAGACCCATGGCACAAAGCAGAAAACTTCAACATGAGTAAATGCAACTACAGCCATCTAATATATGACAAAGATGCCAACAATCTTTGCAGAAAAGATAGAATCTTCAGCACATAACACTGGAAAAAATGGATAGCTACATGCAGAAGAATAAAGTTAGGCCTATGTCTATCAATGTGCAGGAAATGAACCCAAATGAATTGAATAGCTTAGTGTAAAGCCTGAAATAATGTAACAGCTGGAAGAAAACATAGTATCCTACAAGATTTGGATGTAGGAAAGGACTCCATTTACTCAGGCATTAGGCCAACAATTGACAAGTGGAACTTCATAAAACTAAAAACTTTCAGCACAACTAAGTAATAAATCTTTCAATTGGAGAAGATGCCCAAAGAGAAGCAATATCCACGATATATATTTAAAAAGTTAAAAACAAGAGTAAAAGAAGCAACCATTTTTTAAGAAAAAAATGGGATATAGAATTGAACATAAAAATAGGGGCTGGGCGTTGATGGTGGACGCCTTTAATCCCAGCACTCGGGAGGCAGAGGCAGTAAGATCTCTGTGAGTTCAAGGCCAGCCTGGTCTCCAGAGCGAGTGCCAGAATAGGCTCCAAAGCTACACAGAGAAACCCTGTCTCGAAAAACCAAAAAAAAAAAAGAGTTGAATATAGAATACTGAAAAGCAGAAATGAAAATGACAAAACCCCTCAAACATGGTCATTATCCTTAGCAATTAGAGAAACACAAATTAAAATAACATTGAGACTTCATGTCACCCTAGTCAGAATGGACAAGATCCACAACATAACCACAACAAATGCTGGTTAGGATGTGTGGAAAGGGAATCCTCATTCACTGCTGGGATTGCAAACTGGTGCAGCCACTCTGAAAGTCTGTGTGGAGAATTCTTAAAAAGCTAAAAGTAGACTACTATATGACCTACCTACACTCATTGCAATATACCCACAGACTTCCTCATCCTACTCTAAAGTGATCATTAGCGCTCTATTCACAACAGCTAAGAAATAGAAACAATCGAAACATCCTTCAACTGAGGAATAGATAATGAAATGTGGTAATATACACAATGAAATATTATTCAGATATAAAGAAAATTAAATCATGAAAGTGGCTGATAAGTGGGCGAAAACAGAAAATATTATATTGAGTGGGGTAACTCAGACCCTAACCCCCAATCTTCAGAAGAGTGTATACAACCTGGAGTAGTTGCAAATAGCAGAAAAGTAAAATGAGAACATGGCAGGGGATGGGTTGGGCGGGAGCACTAGACAAGGGAATTCTAGGACACAGTTGCTCTAAAAGGGAATATGAGTAGGTGAGATGTACTTAAGGAGGGGGAAAAGGATGGCAACACAAGGGGAGGAAGAAGGAAGAGGGATAAAAAACACTAAAGATGTTTAGAAAAGCAGTATGGGAATCATATTTTAATAGCTCTTTAAAATTATAGTGTGTGTGTGTGTGTGTGTGTGTGTGTGTGTGAGTGTGTGTGTGTACACAAAGAGAAACATATCATTTAATTGAATTTACATCAATTGAAGTGACAATGCTTCCCCTAAAAAAACATAAACAATTTAACAAAAAACCCAGTGCCAGGCATATAAAAACCTACTTTTAGGTTGTTGGTGAGGGAAGTCCAAGAGTCTCTCCCAAAACAATATAGGTCATTGTCATTGTTTTTGGTACCTTTCAGACAAGAAGATGAGGCCTGATTGTTGAAGACACCACACATTGCAGATGAAGGTTTTGGAGGAAATGATTTGGCTCTTACCTGGAAGATTCCTCACTGAGGATTAGTTCTCATAGTTTTGGAAGGAGCCATGCAAGCTGCCAAGGAAGGGAAGCAATCAAGTCCTACCCAGCTATATTGCCAATGAATAACAACAATGACCAGCATGGCAAGAAATCCTGAAAGGAACAGTAGTGACACTTACATCAGGAACCAACAGTCACCTAATTGGACTGAAGATCCACCTAAGAGAAGGGAATTTATTCCTGGCACTATTAATTTAGCCAGCTACCTGTGGCTGATGAGAGCATGGTTCCTAGAGAACTCGCTCCTGCCACTAAACCAGCATAAACTGTGTTCTAAATATTCATCCTTATATCCAGCTCTCACCCAGCATCGAATAAATTTATTTTTGCAGTAGATGAAGACAATAGAAACCACAACTGGTCTAAATGTAGAAATAAAGTGATGGTAGAATCTCTGACTCCTACCCATAAGGCTCTGGGGACATCACAGGAAGGGGGCAGAAATATTGTTAAGAGCCAGGACAACTGCTGTGAGATACATAGGGAGAGTCTGGGAGGAGTTAAGAGGAGTTAAGAGAAGGCGTGTGGTGGTTCACATTGTACCAAATTCTTTAAGAGTTAATAAAATATTACTTTTAAAGGAGAAAAATGAAGTGAGACATAGAAATTGGGGGAGGGATTGAATCATGGAAAAAAGGAACACATGATGAAAGAAAATGGTCATAAATGGAGAGAAAGTAGTGTAAATGTGGTAAGGAAGAGAGTGAACATTTATAAAAGAACAAGAAAAATAGAAGCCTATGTGCTGATGCTCTTGAGATATATTATTGAGCATGGACTGACATTTATATTCTTTGAGCTTCCAGTTTTATGACCAAAGTTGGCCACATTCATTTGAAGATTTGGGAAATACTCTCTTTTTTTAGAATATTCACCAACAGATAGAACTTACTGGCTCCACAATATTGAACTTCTTGGACTCTTGAACTTCCTGGATTTGATAGACATAATCAAGAGAGGACTCGAAGAAATTGTGCCTTTCCTTATCCACTTGGAGGTCTGCCTGCAGAAAGAGAGCAACAAATGTCACAAGTGGGCATGGTCATTTTTGAAAGTTAGGGATTATCAAATGAGATTCTACAGCTAAAAAGGCATTGTGCCACCTGAAAATATCATATTTCTATTGTTTTCTTTATTTCTAATTCACTTTATTTTACAGAGAGGGAATATGAAACCAAGAGATTAAAGACTGAAGGCTTTGTATTTCTAGTCTACCATGGAGGAAGCTTGGGAGTCATAAGACTGATTTTCAGATCACGGAAAATACTGAACAAGTTGGAAAACCTTTCTACTCAAATCCAACAAAAAATTAAAGTCATGGGGGTAAGTGCTGCTGCAAAAACTAGATTATAGGTGAATGGAGAGGATTGGAACCCATGAGAATGGACACAAAAAGTGAATGTTGCTCAATGCTGGGGTGTCACTGCTCTCAGAGAAGAACTACTACCCAAATTAAGAATAAAATGCTAAGAAAATACAAGGACAAAGCAAGGGCTCCAAAGGAACTACAGCAACAGCAAACTAAGCCCAACTTAAGTCCTAGCCAAATAAGCATGAAACCTCACACTAAGCACTTACTTCAGTTTCTTTATCCAAACATCCTCTCTGCCTTTTAAGCAGAAAAGCAAAGAGGTAAAAAAAAAATGTGAAGCAAGAGAACAAGCATCAGAAACTAATGAAGAGTAGGCAGAAGCTGTAGCACGCTGAGACCATGGATTGTAAGCAAGTAAAATAAAAAGGTTTCTAATGGAAAGGACAACAATATGCAGCAACAGATGTGTGAATTTAGAAGACAGATGAAACTGAAGCATGGGTCCAAAGGAAATGCCAGAAGTCTAAAACACTGTAACAGAAATAAAACATGCTTTATTGGGCTCACCACCAGTCTGAACAAGGGTGAGGAAAGAATAAGTCTGGGACTGGAAATATTGCTCAGAAGTACACCACCCACCTAGAATGTATAGGGCCCTGAGTAAGAGTCCTGACAATACAGGAAAGAAAAAGGAATCACACTGAGTTTGAATGTACATCAATACAAAGGTCAATACAAAGAGAATAAACAACATAAAATAAAACATCTGAGAACTGCTAGACAAATGCGTGACATATGTACACTCAGAATACAAGTGATGGAAGAAAGATAATGGAACAGAGAAACATTTCCAAAGATAACAACTGGGGATTTTGAAAAAATGAAAGAATTATCATATTAACCAGATACACAGTTCCTATGTATACACCCAAATGATTCTGTTGGCATACTACAGAAAAATTGCACATCCATGTTTATTATTGCACTACTTATAATTGCCATGATATAGAACCAGACTTGATATCCATCAACAGATGAACAGATACAGAAAATGAGAAGCATAAACATAATTGAATTTTATTTAGCATTAAAGAAAAATGAAGTCATGCAATTTTCAGAATTAGAAATTATCAGGTTTAGTGAAATAAGACAAAGTCAGGAGAAAAATACCACATCACTCCTCTCGATCAGAATCTGGACTTAACTTATGTGTGTATGTATTTTTGTAGGACAAAGAAGTAGAAAAAGCTCTAGGAGAGAACTGGAGGTCTAAAGCCGAGACGAGAAAGGATAGTGGAATATGTGTTATGAAAACAGAAATGGGGACTACTTGGGGAGGAAGAATACCAGCAAGAGGAGGATGGAGAACTAGGCAGAGCAAATGAGAAAATAATAATGACATAGATACATAAAAATGCCACAATGAAATACATTTATTTGTATGCTAACAAACATTAATAATTTTTTTTTATTTTTAAAACTTTCACTATCCACTGTCAACGAGGAGGCCTCAGCACTCTATGGGGCTTTTGGTAGTGGATCAGTATTTTTCCCTGGGGTAAGAAGGGACTCTGAGAGCCCGTTCCACATGAAGGGATGCTCTCTCAGCCTGGACACATGGGGGAGGGTCTAGACCCGGCCCTGGATGATGTTGTAGAATTGGGCTGACCCCATGGAGGGCCCTACCCTCCATGAGGAGCGAAGGGGGGAAGGAAGAGGGGAGGGAGAGGGAGAAGGGATTGACATGTGAAGCAATCTTGTTCCTAATTTCAACTAATAAAAAAATACAACTATGGAACACATGCCCAATCCCACTTGTGAGTAAATTTCTAAATGAAATAAAATCAATATATTGAATCACAAAAAGACTTTTCACTATCCACATTGGCATGTCAACTGATGTTGTAATTATGCCAGTCTTTTTAAAGTAACTATATTATTGAGATTTAATGGGTGTAATTCCCTAGTCAAATCTATGGGACACTACTTTAAAAACTCTTGAAAGATAATAACAGAGAAAATCTGGCCATATGTGATGATACACACATATGACAGTACTCAAGAGTCTAAAGCAGCAAGACATGAGTTTGAGACAACCTTGAGTTGTTACAATGCAAGATGAGGGAGCTGATAGTCTACATGACTTTAGATTGTCAAGAAGTTTAGATACATCAAAAGCATGATTCATTGAAAATACATATATGTAAAATTTCATTAAACCAAAAGCATGAGCTGTACCAAAGACCCTTCTAAGAAAATAGAAAGATAGCTACATACTTGGAGCATTGTAAAACATGTATCTGATACTGGCTTGGCATCTAACATCATACACAGAGTTCTTAAAACACAGCAACAATAAAACAGCTCAATTTTAAAGTAGGCAAAGTCAGCTCACCAGAGAAGACAAGTGTCAGCTCAGCATATGAGAAGATGCTCAATATTACATGTCATTGAGAAATTTCAAATGACTACACAAATGTGATACCACTGTATATTTATTAGTGGCTAACAGTAAAAACACTGATAACACCAAATGCTGATAAGATCATCAAGCAAAAGAAAGTCTCAGAGCTTGTTGGAAAGAATGGTACATGTTGGAAAATAGCAAGTTCTTACAAAACAAACCATCTACTTACAATGCAACCCAACTCTTGTACTCTATAGCATTTACCAAAACAATCTCAACAAAATCTGCATGTGGTGATATGAATAACTGCCAAAATTCAGAAGAAAATGTATCCTTCCATGGAATATAAGATACATATGTGGTACAACCAGACAACAACCCTGAAAATAAATAAGCTAGCTATCAAGTCATAAAAATATAGGAATAATAGACACATATCACTAAATAAAAAAGTCAATATGAAATGGCTCCATGCTGTAGGATTCTAACAACATGACATTATAGAAAAGACAAAAAATATGAAGATCAGTGGCAGCCAGGGGTTTGACATGAGAGAGCATGGAGTCAAGAGAATTTCAGAACAGTGAAGCTATTCTCCATCATACTACACTGTACACATGCCATTATACACTTGTCAAATCCTACAGAATGGGGCTAAAAGAGGAGTAACTCAGTATCACAGCTCCTGTCTAGCATATGCAAAGTTCCAAACTCAACACAGTAAAAACAAACAAACCATATCCCACAGAACATAAAACCCACTGGCTCACCAACTATAATAAACAAGCACAAGATCTTAACAATAGTGCAAACACATGGCAGGGATCGAGTACTTTACAACTGTACTTTCCATTCATTTTTTTTTCATTAAGATACATGAAAACTCTCTCATTTGTTATCACCATATGTGAATTTATGATCATCAAATCAAAAAGTTAAATTAAAGGGGAAAAAGACTTGTCTGGGGACATAGGCCAGTACACATTCCTCCTTGCCCTCCTCCCCTTCCCAGAAAAGAAGCCTAGAACTATTCTACACAGTGTCTCTTGTCTTCTTTCACACCATTCTGAGAGATGAGGCAATGTAACAATAATCTGGAAAAGTGATTTAGCAATGCTATGATTGTTTGTTTGTTTCCTTTTGAGGGACAGGGTCTCATGTATCCTAGGCTGGCCCCATTCTATGTAGCCAAGGATGGCCTTAAACGTCTGAGCTACAATTGTAGCCTTTTCCCTCCCTCTCTTCCTCAATCCCTTCAATCCTTCTTTCCTTTTCTTCATTTCTGAGACAGAGTCTCACTATACAGAACTTATTATGTAACCCAGACTGCCCTCAAATTCACAGCAATTCTCCTGCCTCAGCCTCTTGAGTGTTGCGATTATAACAATGACCTACCACACCAAGCTTTAAAAAATAAAACCTTCTCATTTAAAAAAAGTGACTGACTCATTTTCCCTTACCTCATTTTTCATGAACAATGGCTACAGTCTTGCTCATCAGAAATGTCAACAAAGACTGAGTATCGTGGTTCACGCCTACAATCCCAGAACTTAGGAGGCAGAGACAGGGAGACTTCTGAGAGCCTGAGGACATTATGGGTGAGACTCTGTTTTAAAACAACAAAATCCCCCATAAAGTGCAAACAAGGACACCTACATAGTGTAAAAACCTGCTAGGACACTCTCGATGTCTTCCTAGCAAACCCCACCAATATATGGACTGTATCCCCGTGGGTCCCTATGGCTATCTTCAGATTTGGTAGTCACTAAGAGGCCTCACAGGACTGGGGATTCAACATATAGTCACAATCCCAGATGGCATGTATTTCAGTAAAAGGATACAAAGAAAAATCAGCAAAGAGGAAAGGTGTGAGAGATCCACTCTAGAAGAAACTGTATATAAGCTAGTAAGAGACTCCTTAGTAGTTTTGCAAAGGATACATGAAATGCCTCATTTAAAATATAACAACAGAGTAAAAATAGCTGCCAGGAAAGGCTCTCTTCAGACTGATGATACCTCTAGGCTTTCATTGGGCTAGTAACATAGGCACTCCCTGCCTAGTATGAGTTATAATTCTAGACTGTCTCAGGAACAGACAGGTATTTGAGAAAAACCACACTGTCTGCATAAGCAGCTGTACACAGAGAACCACTATTAAATTAGCCTCTGTAGAAATTCCCTCACTCTCCTTTTTTTTCCAGACAGCTTCACTTTGGAAAGTATCCCTGTCCTCTCCCTGCCTGCTGCAGATAATAAACATTTCTCCACTCTTTGATGTCTTGGCCATGTTTTTCTTTTCTCTTCCTTCCTTCGTTTCTCTCTCTCTCTCTCTCTCTCTCTCTCTCTCTCTCTCCGTTGTTGTTGCATTAGTCAATATGTGAACCCACTGCATTTGATTACACTATCTTGTCTTTTACTAGTCTTTTAGGGTAATATCAACTCTGAACAAATCACTTCTTAAGACTATCTCATGCCTTGAAGCTACTAGCTTAGGTCTAGGGCGGTTTCTCCAGTCATATTTGTCATACATTTTATCTGTTTTCAAACGGTTATCTCAAATTGGAAAGGCACCTTTCTTCCACACAATGAATTCCTTCATCCAGACATAAGTCTTTAACTTCTCATTCCCCAGGTCTCAAGACTATCATATAAGCATACATTTTGCAGTACAGAAAGAACCTTGCTACTATGAGATTAATACACATTCTTAACTTAGAATCCCATCTATAAGGTGTAGAAGGACAAGGATGTTCTATTCCTGTCCATGTAGTCTTGTTCCACCCAGTGCAATGATGATTTGGTACATATCTATTAATAGTGGCTTGGGAGAATAGTTGTCACAGCAAATCTTATAGAAGTAGTCGCCCTATTGCAACATTTTCTGCCCCCATCAAAACAGGTAATGGAACACCACAAAGGGAAAAATGTATGTTCCTTATATGCCAAATACAATACTAGTTTAACTCTATCAAAACATAGAGTCTAGAATCACAGACTTAGGAACCTAAAATTAAAAGTGACACTGGAGATACTTGAGTATCATTCTTTCACACTGTGGGACTGAAGCCAGAAATAAAGTTCCTGAACACAGAAAGTTAGTGGAGGAACTGGCTCAAGACTCACATACCTGGGCCCAGGCCTCAGGTATTCCCTGCAAATGTTTATATGGCCTCTGTTGAGCCATTTCAAGGAGAAATGACTGTGGTTTCTAAGCCACAGCACAAGTTGGAGGCAGGAATAGATTTTGTAAACATACCTCTAGCAACTGAGATTCTTTCTTTTTAGATGACAGATGTAAGTGCCGGTCCAGTAATGAGTAAAACCTCTCACCATCCTTTTCAAATTTCTTCTTCCTCTCCTAGACATGGAACAGAAGTGTCGCATTAAATTTCTATGGTTTAATACTATGGACTTAGTAATGAGAATGAAAGATACAGTTTTGGGTTTCATGTGGCCAGTTCCTGTAGCTCCTGGGAAGGAAAGAAAAACTAAATCCAGTGCAAAATGTGCTGGTTTGTGCTGATATCAGCAGTTTTGACTTCCTCAAATCACTCTAACTACAAAAAGGCATTTCCTACTGGTTGAGCTGAAGCCTTGGCTAGCTCTTGCTCCAACAATGGTACTCAAAGGGGGTCTCTGTTGCTGAACACCCTTTCTTCCCTTCACATATGGTTATCATTCATTTGATCTTAGAAAAAAAGGAAACACAGAAGTGAAGTAAATATATCCAGGAAAGGTTAATCTGGATAAATCGGAATGACTTCAAACAGCCTCCATTCCAAGACAAAAGGAATCTAGGACTACTTCTTTCAAAGTATTCTTTGGGATTATTTAAATATTTACTGCTACATAGTAAACAGTGACTGAGGGAAATCCTGGCAGACTTAGATAGAAAACAAGACTTCACAGCAACCTTTATGCGGATGGAGGACTCAGCCTTCACTCTCCTTGGGGATACAATGTAATTAACATCTCTGCTGTTCAGCCAAGTGCTGTTCTGTAAATCACACAGCTTCTAAAGAAATGCTGACAATACAAAACTGTCACAGAATCATTGTACTGATTTTTTTCTCAGCTTGACAGAAGTCATTTGAGAAGAGGATCTTCTGTCCAGAAAATGCCTCCATCATATTGCCTGTAGACATGTCTGTGTGGCATTTTCTTGACTAAAGATTGATGTGTGATGGGCTAGCTTACTGTTCATTGGTGCCACCCAAGGGTAGGTGGTCCTGGTATATGTAAGAAAGCAGGCTGAACAAGCCATGATGAACAAGCCAGTAAGAGGCACTCCTCCATGGCTTCTACTTCAGTCCCTGATCCCTCAGGATTGTATACATAAAATAATAACATAAATCTAGTATGGTGGTGCATATCTCTAATTCCAGCATTCAAAAGGATATGGAAGAATGAAAATTTTAGAAAAGAAAAGAATGGATTATTAGGAGGAAAAGAAGATAGGGATGAAAATAATTGCAGGATTGTAAAATTATGTACATTACATTAACATTTCATTCATTCAAACACAATCTAGAAACAAGAAGCACTGTTGCTCCATCATGTGTATATGAGAACACTATAATACCACTTATATGCACTAAAACTGCTACACAAAACATAAGGAGAACAAATTATCAAAGTATGAAAGCTATAAGCAAACTACAATATCTCTCTTACATTTAAGGCTTACTTCGAAAGCGTAAATTTAGCATTCTAGTTATACAAATTCTTTTATCTGTGTTAGACAAAATATAGCAAAAAAAGCTTGTGTCGGGCACAGACATTGCCCTGAGGGAATCTAGAGTAGTCAAGGCCATTGAAACCAGCTTTCAAGGCCCTCATACTCCAGTAAGGACTAGAAATATACCTTAGAAGCCCATCTTACCTTTCACTTTACAAAAGTGAGTGCTGACATTAAGCTAACATCATTCTTTATAAACACAATAAATGAAACACAAATTACCTATGGAGAGTACTGTTTCTTCTGTATTAGTTTGGTTTTGAGACAGGGACTTGCTAAATAGCTCAGACTGGCCTTAAAAAATCTTCCTTCCTCAATCACCCAAGTGCTTGGATTACAGGCATGCATCACCATGTCTGGCTGAAATTACTGTTTCTTATGCTGTTGAAAAGGTCTATCTTTGATTTCAACTAAGAAGAAAATCATTCTTTCTTAGTGTTATGGCTGGGGTGACTGTGGAAGAAAACAAGTGTCCAACAAAAAGTGTTTCATGTGTTTTGCATAGCTCCACCAAGAAAACTTGCTCAGAAGAAGCAGCTGGATGGGGCACTTAAAGAGCATGACAAATGTCTAAAGAACACTGTGTTCAGGCAGGCAGAGCCAGTCAACTTCTGTCCTCTCTGGGGGAAGTTAACATGAGCTGCCAAAGGTTTAAGACATTGGTTCTGGTTCAGCAAATCTCTCATGGACTAAAGAGGCTCTTTTTCTTGCCAGATAAATTTGGGATCTCTTGGGTTGACAAGACCAGCTGTGAGGCTGACAGCTGTTCCTCTCTTTCCCTCCTACTTGGAAGAGGATATGAGCTTATATTGCTGCCTCCACCCACTTGCACCAGTGTCCGTGGTCCCAGAATGCAGCACATGTAGGTCTCTGAGGACAAGGTATTGATGACTCTTTCTACAGGATGGTGATGCTGCTGTCAGTAGGAAATAGAAGCTTGGCATACAGCAGCATATAAGAGCCCTTCACAGGAATACAAAGAAAAGACTTACTATGCTTCTTATTAAACGGTGACTTCAAAAAAAATTAAAAATGGAGACATGCATTTGTTTTAGATTTTATATTGCTATGATAAATACCATGACCTTATGCAACTTTGGAGAAAATGATTTACTTCAACTTATAATTCCATGGCACAGTACATCACTGAGGGAAACCAGGAACAAAACCTAGAAATAGAAGCTGATCCAGAAGTCATGGAGGAATGTTGTTTACCGGCTTCCTCAGACTGCCTTTTTATAGCATCCAGGACCACCAGTCCAGGAGCAGTATTGCACATAGTGAGACGGGCCCTCACACATAAATCATCAATCACGAAAATGAACCACAAGTTTGCCCATAAACCATTCTAATGGGGACATTTTCTTAATTGAGGTTCGGTTTTCCAAAATGACTCTAGCTTGTATCAAGATGACAAGAAAATATACAGCACACAAGGCAAGTGGGTTCTAACACTAAAATATACCCTCAAGTCCTCAGTAATAGTTTATGGTATGGATTAAAATAACATAGTTCTGCGATTTGACAGAGAGTCAACACAGAGGGTCACTGAGTTTCAGTAGGCACCTAAAAACTAAAACCTGTACTGAAGAAAGTTTGTCTCTGCTTTTTTTCCTTGGATTAGACAGAGAAGGCCATATCAACAGGTCTTGAAGCACAATAAAAAATAAGTTACCTGGGAATGGTGGCACTCAAGGGGCTAAGGAATATGGATTATGAGTTCCAGAGTAGCCTGAACGATATTTCTCAAACAGTATTTCTCAAAAACTCCAAAAATAAATTAATTATACAGAGACACAAATCTAAGGTTTGTAAATTTTATAAGGTTGTATTCATTACTTTTTGTTAAGCAATTCATGGAAGAAAGATTTTATTTTGGTATATGATCCTAGAAGGATAGAGTCCATGAAGTTGGGGAGGCATGGGAGCAGGTAGCTAGTGCAAGAAGCTGAGAAATCAAGTCTTAAAATTCAATTGTGAGGCAGAACTACAAAGCAGAGTGATGTTGGGGGATATTCAACCTCACTGTGAATCCCAAGGTTCAATTTGCATTAATTAAATAAAATTAACTTTGGGACAGTATTTCTGGTTTGCAAAGACAGTCTATATTTGATGATCACACTTGGATTCTATATCCCATGGCAGCTTTGAATGTTTGGGACAGAGTTGAAGAATCGGGAAAGAGGATTGAATCATTTACTAAAATTTTACAAGGCCTAAAAAGCCTTCACTGCTTTTTTTTTCAAAGACTGATTTCAGCTTTAAATAGAATGATATCAGATCCAGAAGTTAGACAAATATTAATTGAATCTTTGTGTTGTGGCATATTAGTTTAAGATTGCTACATTCATTTATGCTGTGGAATATTTGTTTAATGATGCAAAAATGTGTTGCATTCCTTTATGTTGCATTTGTTCACATCTGTAAAGCTGTGTTACTTTGTCTGTCTAAACAGCTGATGGTCTAATAAAGAGCTGAACAGCCAATATTGAGGCAGGACAAAGTATAGGTGGGGCTGAAAAGCAGAGAGAATAAATAGGAGAAATCTATGCACAAGAGAAGGGAGGAGCAAGAAAAGGAGAAGGAGAGGAGGACACCAGAGAGCAGCCACCCAGTCACATAGCCAGCCACAGAGTAAGAAGGAAAGAATGATATACAGCACAAAGTAAGATTTAAAAAGCTCAGAGGCAAAACATAGAAGAGAAACAGTATAATTTAATTTAAGTTAGAAAAACTGGCTAGAAACTAGTCATGCTAAGGTCAGGCATTCATAAGTAAGAATAAGATTCCCGTGTATTTATTTGGGAGCTAGATGACAGGCTCCCAAAGAATAAAAAAATCAACAACATATTTGGCTTTTGAAAATACTAACTCACAATGCAAAAAGGTGATTTAGCCTTTAAAGTCAAGATTAGCGATAGATCCATACCTGTCACCATGCACAAAACTTAAGTGCAAATGGATCAAAGATCACACCATAAATCTAGCCACACTGAATCTTCTAGAAGAGAAAGTGGGAATTACCCTTGAACAAATTGGCACAGGAAACTGCTTCCTGAACATTATGCCAGTAGAACAGACATTGAGGTCCGTGATTAATAAATGGGACCTCCTGAAACTGAGAAGCTTCTGTAAGGCAAAGGACACAATCAGTAAGACAAAACGACCGCCCACAGAATGGGAAAAGATCTTCACCGATCCCACATCTGAGAGAGGGCTGATTTCCAAAATATATAAGGAGCTCAAGAAGCTAGCCACCAAAACACCAAACAATGAAATTAAAAAGTAGGGTGCAGAACTAAATAGAGAATTCTCAACAGAGGAATCTGAAATGGCTGAAAGACACTTAAGAAAGTGCTCAAAATCATTGAC